TTTCAAATGTTGTGTGTGGTGCTTCAACTTGTGCCATACACTGTTCCTTACTTCAGGTAGATGTGGACGGGCATGAGAGCATCAAAGCGCATGATTAACACCGTATATCTGCTGAGAAGAGCTATTCAATTCATGACAAGATGCCACATCCCAAAAATATGTGTTTGTCAAGTTTACGGTGAGCCATTCTTGATCTATACACTTAGATCAGCGACTTCATCGCCATTTTTCGGAGAGAATTGCCGGTTTATGATGATAACATCACGCATCGACGAGGCAAAACGTACAGCGTACAGGTCAGACGGAACATGTGTCGTATTGCCGAAAGCTGTAAAAGGCGAATAGTGTGGAAGTTTAGATACAGTTTAATCGAAGCGCGTGGCTACATGCTGACAGTTCTATTCCAGATTCAAGCCTTGTTACATTAATGCATAAGCCCGCTTGACACTCAATGAATGGTGGTACTCCATGGCGAGGACCTCAAGTACATGATATTGTTCGAGGCGCAAATTACCCCCTATGATGACCACCTCGTAAGAAAAGATTCAAATCGCACACTGTGTGCCAAAGTCGCTTATTTCATCCTAATGAGTTTGAGTGTCGTGCTCCTATGGCTATACCAGGTTATTTAGGTGCAATTCACTGTTGTCAGAGACAGGTAAACCATGCATGCAGCGCCAATCAGCGCGACATCGGATCTCTTACAGTAGTACCCGAAATGTATTGAGCAATATTTAAAGCATCTTAAGAAAAATGCAGACCCATCCTGTGGCCTATGTGGGTTGTGTAATCCAGACCATGATCCCACTTTAACGAGTCGTCGGACGTGATGTACGCTATGGCAGACAGTACGACGCCTCAGCCATTCCTCGAAAACAATATTTGCTGTAGGGTGGATATGCTTTGAACCATCACAAGACAGACAATTAAATTTACTTTGCTCAACAGCAACGATGACGTAACTCACAAAGCGCATCTATTGAAAGACTGATGTCAGTATTGGTCGCATTCCGAGACGATCGGAGAGCGTCGACGTGTCGTTCGACGAAGAGCGCTTGTAAGAGCCAGCAAAAGAGTGTCGTCACGCGCCGCGATGATCAATGAGTAAACCACATTCCTGTGAAGCTATAAGCAAATCAGCGGGCTCACCAGGGCTGTAATCGACGTCTGGTGAAATGCAAGGAACTCTCACTCTGGAAGTCATGGTTTGACTGTTTTTATCTGCAAGATTGCCTGTTGCCATTGCCGCTTTCGACAATCTGAATGATCAGACATCATTATCGTAAGAGAAGATGAATACTCGGCTTCCCACAACCTAGCGGGAACTTTCCTTGATACATTTTCATGGCTTAGTCGGTAGCTGTTTCAAAGGCCCATGGATATGGATAGAGCTGTCACTAGTAGGAGCTTAGGGTGATAAGCATTCACTAAGGTTCCTGTCGCACTCTGTATTCCGCATAATCGAATAACAAACAACTTTTCAGTCGGTCACTTGCTTACAAAAAATTGTCAGATAGTGTTACTCTTCTCGTGCGCGAATAGATTGCAGTATGCTTCGACGCTTTTGCCCGCGTTCAGTACCCAACCAATGGAGAGTTGTAATGAGCTACACTTAGCCATTACATAAAGGTCCATTTGTGTACCTTCTGTATACATTGTAGGAATTTATATCACAAGTGGCCACAGAATGGTGCCCCCACATGCATGTGACATCTGACATGAAGTCACAAACAATCTGTTTGATACAGATTGATAATTCCCACATGGGGATATGAATTGGCGACGAGACAAACGTCTTTCTGTCTTCCGTGGGCAACGTAATCCAGTCGCTTCTACTGGATACACTTCACGGCATTTGTATTTCAACCTTTTCGAAGTTCAAGATCCGTACACCGCACATCTTGTATTAAGTTCATGCGGAGGTTCAATCTCAGTACATCCTTGATTGTATAAATCAGGCTAATAGGAACCTAAGGTTTTATCAGAAAACTCCCCAGAGGTCCTTGTGGTGATTTGCATGTTTCACTAAGAGCTATTAACTCATTTTATATCAGTCGCAAATTTCCCTCCAAACTCTCAAGGCATTCTTTTTTTCCTTCATGTCGGGACTGTCCTTCTCCCTCCGCGTCAGAAATCGCTTTCTCGTCGCGCAAGTTTGTGTGTTGTGGTTGACAGATTGTTGTGAATAGTGCCAATTACAAGAGTACAGTAAAACCCGCTCGCTCTTGTTTCAGGTACAGATGGAAGACCAAAGAGTAAGGACAATGTGATTTAAAAAGCGCTCGAGGTACAAAATCTGAGCACTCGTTTTGCTTTTGCATGAGAAGAATGCCCGCACGCATTGGAGTGTGAAAGCTCTGCCACAGTACGGCGAGAAAATTTCGAAAGATTTTAGTCATAATCATAACGCAATGGTGTTCGCAGTGGTCACTGTAATCATTGTGCTTGTAGGCGGGCAAGCTTGACTCGACAAGTATGGCTAGGTTCGTCGATGAGCAGCTGGACGTGGTGTCGTGAAACGTTCCGGTTAAGGGAACAAGCCTGAAGTGTGTAGTTCGCGTAGAAAATAAGCGAAAACTAGCGAAACGCTCTTCCTAGGTGAGCGGCCCTGCCACATCTCTTTTTGGTGATGATGTTGTGGACTTCAGTCGCGAGAATTGCATTTATATCAGTAGCTCGTTTGAGCCATGTCGGAATGCTGGGGAGGGGTCTTTCGATGCGGTTGCGGCTAATAGGAGAAGTAACTGTGATGTACGACAGTAGTGACTGCTCGTTGCCTTGACTTGCGCAATAAGTTAGCAAAAGTGTAAAACCTAGCGAGCTCCACATCTCGATAAGAAGTATAAATATGTAAACCCCAAATTCTTGAAGTAGAGAAGAGATAAATGTCTAGTTGCTTTGAAGGCCCTCGATTCCGCTCCTGGGTGGAGCGTACTACTTCAAACCAGGTATATCGTTAATGCCGACCCCTCGATATTAAGCTTCTGTGCAAGCTGCACGGCATATGGCTTCAGTTGTATACCCTAGATTTATCACGGCGACTTTTAAAGTCGTAGCTTCAACATGCTAATTCGTGCCAAACACTTTTGTCAGGGATACCCTTTCGATCAAAATCTGCAGTTGTAAGTTGAATAGTGCCAAAAGCAATAAAAAGGCATGTGGTATATCTTCTTGTATGTTAAAGCCATGTCGTAGAGACAGCTGAAGGATGTCAAACAATGTCATTCTTTATATATTACCTTCAAAATATGAGTTTGGCCGAATCCAGAGCAATTTTAAACGTGAAAATGGCCTGCGCATGTGTATGGAATTAGACCAATTTGAAGCTAAGCGCTGGAAACGCTCTTTTGATAGTAAACGTTAGTAAATATCAAAAGTAAGGTAATCGAACAATTTCAGACCCGTCGAACAGCGCGAAACGATGAAAAGTGGTCGATAATGCTGGAGTTTCGGGGGATATTTCTTAGCTGTTTGGCACATAAAAAAGTCGAGGTGATACACATGCGTAGCTACTAGCTACGACACAACCAATATGCTCTGATTGCCGATATGTCCCCATGTTTGAGTACAAGGGTGAATGGCTGTCACTATATCGACGGCGGAAGCGAGGATGATATTCTAGCGGTTAAAAAACTTAGTACCTGTTATTATTGTTTGCACGTAAGCTAGGTAGGTTTTAATACTTTGCTGCTAGTTCCAAAATTACAAACGAAATTCATACATCGATATTTCTACCTACAAGGTCAAGTTTACCCTCGACTTTAGCGTATCAAGCTTAAAACCCCTGGCGAAGACTGTGAAGACTGAGGAAAAGGTCGATGATTGGGTGCTCATGGTCGCGTACCAGCACTAAGCTTCATTGTATCTTGGGTGAAAAGTCTCAGTTCAGGAACCTAAACCTATGTCTAGCACAAGGATGGTAGATTTACGATCGCGACTCATTCGCAGCTGATACATGTGCAATCTTCGTCACGCAAGTTAAGATTTTGTGCAGTGTGCTTTCATGTGGATAGGATCACGGCAAGGACAGGATCTAAGCGATGACCTTTTGTTGTGATTTGTTCGATTTGGAAACATCAGTTTTAAGTAATCTGTACGCCAGCTTTTAGTTACTTTGTTCTAATTGCAGAATCGCTTCCTGCGCTACAAGTATGCACACCAAAGCTTCACCATTTTTTTTTCGAATGCCTCACACTCAATTCATACATGTGCTTTGTCATGATAGATGCAGCAAGATCGCTCTTAACAGTGAGTTCAGCTCAAACTCTCTATGCTAATTTTACCAAATTTTTTAATCTGACCATAGCTCCAGTGAAGGGTAGACTAAATTTGCACCAGCTGCGCTAGAGACAATTTCTTGTTAATTGCGTTCTGAACAATATCTCGTTGTGAAGAAGTCAGAACTCCCGCAAGTTGGTCTCACTAAGAGTACGAGTGTCGAAGGTTATCATAAACTTATGTTATTGTTCAATTTAACATCAAATTACCCTATAAAGAAACTTTTGCGGCAATAATAAAAAAAAATCTTTAAAGCTTAAACATGTGCGATTAAAATGAGGTTAAAAACACGGAACAGGGCAAGTGCCGTTCATCTCCGATAGATACCGACGTCAGAGGAGACCACCATGCTGCTTGCGTACTACCATTGATCTTTATACAGTCGTCTTTCTATATCTAGAACTCCTCTGAACGAGGTTTTGCCACAACACGCGGCTTTGATGCCATCATAGTCGTCGAGCTCGACTTGGAAAACGATGACGTAGATGGAGATGAAGGTGCCGGCGACATTGTGCGTGCTGGGTGCGGCGACATGGTTCGTGCCAGATCGGGTGACTGAGTGTGACCCCTGGGGGTTTGTTGGTCATCATTGCTAATAAAGCTTCCACTTTCCGAGCTGGGGCTGTGGCGACCGGGGACACCACCTTTTCCAGTGCTACGAATTGCCTTGGCCTCCTCTTGATCAATAAAACGGATGCTGTTTAGCACGTACTCCTTGTCCCTCTTCATCTTCTTTAAGTTTGCGTTGACCATGTCCTCTTCACTCACAGCACTGTTAATTGACACGCCAATTTCCCTCAAAAGCCTCGTGTCGATCTCACAGATATTCTTTTTAAACTTGAGAAGCTCCACAATCCATTGTTCGGACGGATGTACCGCGTCAGCCAGCTTTGCCTCGTTATTGCCGCGATGACCTGAATTCTGACGAGCAATCTTCTTTTGAATGTCCTTGAGAGCAGGAATCCGCTCGAGCGTATCTTCTTCCCAGTTGATCTCCTTGCCTTTCACCTTTAAGTTCTCAATCTCCTTGCGCTCCTTGCGGCTCAAGTCAAGCCACTTTTCCATGAGCTTTATGTCGCGTTCGATAACGAGCTTAAGCCAGTCAAATACGTCGCGAACCTCCTTCAGCTCGTGATCTACCTTAAAGCGCTTGGCAAATTCAGCACACGCCTTGCGGTCGTAGTAATTGCGGTTTTTAATAAGCTTTTTGGCAGCCTCTAACTCTGCCTCACGAGGCAAAATCGGTTTGGCACGCTCTGAGCGTCGGCTTTTGATCTTATTAAGCTCCACTGGATACTTCATATGCTCCGCCTGCATCTGTTTGTAGCTGTCAATCAATGCGCGGGCGCGCTGCTCGATCAAATCAGCTTCAGAGCGACGCACCTGCGACTCTTTGGCAAGTGACGTCTTTTCTGTAGCGCATAAAGCGCTTTCTTCGCTCTCCATACGCTCCATGAAGGCATTAATTGATTCAATCTCACCTTCGAGTTGAGTGGACGCGTGCTGCAGACTCTCATCTTCCTCTAAAAGACGATTAGTTAGCATTTCAAACGCCTCTGCAAGTTGCTGCAACAAACTGCGAATCTGTGACGTCATCATCATATCCTCGTCCTTCTCTTGTGGCATGGATACGCTGTACACGTCCTCCACGTGAGCCCAGATTGCGCGCTTCTCCACTTTCTCCTGAGCGAATTTTCGACTCACTGCTAGTTCCTGAATAACACTCTTGATATCTGCTTCATCGTCCTTTTGAAGACGAGACGACTCTTTTAAATCTTCACCACGCTCCTTGGTGCCAGCTTCAAGAATTTTCATGTCCTTCTTGCCCATGTTAGCCGCGTGGCCAGTGACGTACTGGTACCAGTTTTCCGACGACTTGAGCATTTCAACCTTGTGCTCACCATTCAAAATGCGTTGCTTTTGACGCATAATTCGCTCTTCTTGGTCAATAACACGGTGTGTAAAGTGTTGCACCAGCTTTTGTAAATCAGCAGCGCGCACAGCCTGTTTCACTAGACGATTTGCTTCAACTTTTTTGCGGCCTGAGTGTTCGTGCAGTGATTCCAGGACCCAGTTCCCCGCGTTGTTCATGAGTTCGGTTATCAAAAACTTCTTTTCCTCACGCATCGCCTCTTCATCGGCCAGCAATTTGGTTTCTGTATCAATAAGGTTGTTAAACTCGGTGATCATGCCTTCCTCTTGCGCGGCGTTTTTCACCTCTTCCTCAAGATTCTTGATATGTTGATTCATGCGCTCCAACAGTGACGTGCAGAGTTTATTCTCCGTCTCAAGTTGGGCGGCCTGGTCGTCTAGTTCCTTTTGGAACTGGACACGCCGACGACGTACGTCGTTCATGAACTCGTCGCGTTCGTCCACCTCGGTATCACTGCCCTCCTGTGGGATGCGCTTGTTGCTATCTTTTACCGCTGCAAGCTCGCTAGCGCGGACCTTCATATCGGCTTCCAGACGAGTCACATACTCGGGCGTGATGATCAAAGCATTGCGAGCTTCGTCCAAAGTATTTTTGCAGTCCTCACAGTGCTCATCAAACAGTAAGCAATCGGCCTTGCGCTCTTCTGTCAGAGTAGCACGCTTAAACAGCAGCATGCGTTGCGAATTGGTCTGACGAGCCAATTGGTCGGTAAACACTTCCGTACGTTTCTTGCCGCGCGTGATGCGAGATCCGTGCTCGTCCAAACGCGACTTGGTTGTGGCAAAGCGCTGGGTCTGTACCACACGCCACTCCTTCTCGTACTCCTCATCCAGAGCCTGGTGGCGCGAACGACGCTGAGCAATAGAGCGTGTACGGGCATTAATCTCAGTTTTGAGCGCTAGCAAGTCGGCTTCGATCGTCTTGATCTTTTTCTGACGTGCTTCCGCCTCCAGACGAACGTACTCGTGCTCTTGCTTGTAGCGTGTGTCTTCATCGAGGCACATTTCATCCTCGCGCTTCATGTTAGCACGGCTACTCGTCCAGTGCTCTCGTTCCTTGGCGAGCTTCATCCATTCTGCGTCAACCGTATTTCCTTCTTCTTCAAGTAATTCAGGTTCCTTTTGTTGTATTTTCACAAATTCCGCGTGGAGGTCAATAAGTTCACGTGGAACTTTGTCTTTCTGGTCCTTAGACGCGTGGAATATGCCGTATGAGTGCACAATGAAGTCATTTGCAATATCTTTCGACACGGCGGGGTTGTGGGCTTCTGACCAGTCTGCACGGTGTTTTGACCACTGTGCCATGTCACTGTTCCATTGTGTTGTATCTTGCTGGAAACTATCCTTTGATTTTGTAAACTCGACTTTCTCCTTTATACGTGTTTCTTCCTCAGTGTTGCGCACAGACTGGTCACGTGCAACGTCAAAATAGAGGATGTGGGTTGTACTGGATTGCTTCTCATAACGCTCCTTTTCGCGCTCCATCCGCTCCGTCTGCGTCTCCTTTCGAGCCTCCAGTGCCTTGAAACGGAACGTAGCTTGCTCCCGTCGGATGTTCTGGGCAGCTTCGCGCTTCTTTTGCTCCTCTGCTCGAGCAGTTTGTTCAGCCAAGCGCTGCTTCTGCTGCTTTTGGCGGTCAATTAGACCATTTAATTTGGTCCGAATCTGAGCTTTTTCGAGCTCAAGACGCAGCGACTTAATGAGCGTGTTGAACTCGTCCGTGTTATACAGTGTCTTTTTGCCACTCTTTTGGAATTGACGCAGCTGGTCGGTCGGTAATGCTAAGAAAGCCTTGAGGAAGTCAGCGTCACGCAAAAGTGGGTGCAGCATACAACCATACAAGAAAGTTTGTAGAACCTTTTCACGTTCTCCACGCGGAGTACGTTTTTCTGGGAAAAATGGCAGCGCTTTTGGATTCGTAAACTCCCCAAGCTTCACAAAGAGCCATTCAAAGTCCGCCATGCTGCGTTCTTCTAGAATCTGGTACTCGTGAGTTACAGCGAGGTCGGACTCAGTGACATCGTGGTCGGCAGCCTTAGCTGCAGCCTCATTGGGCTCACAATACGTCTTGACCAAGTAGGTATCTGTATCAGGGGTATTCCCATTTGATGAAGCTTTGACACTCACTTTAATGTCAAGCTTGGTTAAGTACTCGAAGCCAGCAGGAGGTTTAGCAACCGGGTCCATGACAGGTTTAATGAATTTGGGTGGATTCTCGTTACAAGACGTACAATGACGCACAGGCATAGGAAAGCCCAATTCTGGAATGGGTTTGGACTCGACACTGCATTGATTACAAACACTGCGCGTACAACGACGGCAGTGGTGCTGACGACGGCCAAGCTTAAAAGGACGAAAACAGACTTGGCATTCCGTTTGGTCGCTACGAGCCGTCTCGGACACAAAATGGCTCGTCGGGTCGCTGTTTAGCAGACTCGAGTCACGCGCACGACCAGAGTCGTCTCGGCTACGGGCATTCGGGTCTTGTAAGTTTCGGTATGCATCGTTAATTTTTTCGAGCGTCTCTTGGTCTTCAAGCTTAGTTGGATCCATGGAACGCGACTTTTTCTTGTATTGCGCTGCAATCTCTTCGGGTGTCGCATCCTGCGAGACGCCCAAAACGTCGTAGCTGTCTTGACCGGAAACAGGACGGTTCACGGGGCCACGACGCTGGGCGAACACGTCAGCGGGTGTCGTGATAGCCTTCATTTGTAAAGCCGTGATACAATTACGGCAGCAGCGCTGCTGCGCATTGCCGTATCCAAACGAAGAAGGGACCTGAATCTTATGATTTACACATGGACGGCAGAAAAGAAGGCCACATACGCGGCAATGGTGACGACGTGGCTTTGGGAATCCAAACGGTGTTTTGCAATCCATACACTCGCTGCTGAAATTGTCAGGAACCCAAAGCTTCTCAAGGCCCGCGACATCAGACGGCACGCCATCCATCGATCCGCGACCTGCGTGGTCGTTCATGCGGTCGTCGCTCTGTTTGCGTGTAATTGCTTGTGACGGTAGTGAAGTAGGTTGCGAGCGGCGCTCCTGGACAGGTGCGGACACCGCCGTAGGAAGGTTTTCATTCGATGGGGAAGTGTGGCCACCTACAGCTGAATTGTTGCTGGATGGAGCTGTAGATTGGCCGCTGGTAGGTGGGCGGCCACCAGTTTGAGGAGCTGTCGTAGGCGTAGTATTGGTTCTTTTAAGAGCTGACTTGAGCTGGGGTTGTCCAGCATCAGTCTTTTTGAGAGCTGATTTCAGCTCCGGTTTCGCAGCGGCTGTGGAAGGTTTGGCCGGTGCAGCAGGTTTTGCCTCGGGCTTTGCTTCAAATTTAACTGAAGCGGGTGAAGGTGCTGGGGCAGACACTGGTGAGGGTTTACGCTGCGAGAGCGAGAGACTCACCTTCGTGCCACAGTAAATGCAAAAAGCATCGGCGTCAGATACGTCACGGCCGCATTTGACGCAATTTAGCCCATTGTTTGGAGCGGCAGCCGGGGCCGCCGCTGTCTCGGAGCTTCCTGCCATCTAATCTAGACTCAAGCCTTCTATTGATATATGAATGCTACCAGATTGAGTCTGAAGCGCGAGAGTCAGCAAGTGGAGTTGTGAGTGAGGGGGGATCGCTGTTTTGCAGCCTACCCGTACAAAGGGGAGAGATTGAATAAGCCTGCTGTTTTTCCGTGCACGTGGGTTTGTATTGTAGTCAGATTGTTATAAAGAAACGTAGCCGAGCCATACAAACATACCTGACTTCTTACATAATATGAAGCCAGTCAAATGCGTGGGTATTCGTCAGCGAAACCAGACATTCAGACAGTCTATACCGCTCATATAAAATCATACGTGGTGGTATTATTCATGGTAGTTTTATGGACATAGTGAGGGGGGACCTTGTGACTCGATGTGCGGCTCTGTTCAGCGGGCACTTTATGTACAAGTTCCCATCGCCTTCTGAAGAATGCAGCTGTCATAACTCAGCTGAAAATACTGACGAAACACATGGCTCAGCATACGATGGCTACCATAAGTAGGAAGCCTCACCATATTTTCTTAAGCTAAAATGCAATGAAAGCATGCACTGATTCAATCTGACGAGATTCTTGCCGCGACTGACGTACGTCCGTCAATGCCGCTTACAACGTGACGTAGAAACACGAGAGAGCCAGATTTACGACAGGAAAGAGCCGGCCATGGCAGACAATCACTCATCTGAATGTAGCACTTTGACGGGGCAAGGTAGGCTAAAATATCTATGGTTCACGTAACAGATCAATACTGCTGCCGCTCCACAGTATCGCCGAAAATCATTTGAGTACTTAATCTTTATACTATCATCTGCTATCGTGTCTGTAATCGCATAGTGCGTGTGTATCGCAGTTGAAGTTGAAAGAGAGTACAGGGCATGGGCGTTTAGATGCCGAATGCTCCATTGCAACGAAAGGCTCCACATTACTCACGGCTCTTCCATGGAATCGTCGCGTTACAAATTATATCTACGTACGTACACTCATTGCACAATACAACACATTTGTCTATTGCGGCAAAGCTACGCAATTTATCTTGACTGCATTTTGCTAACCTCTCGATTGAACGAAAGCCCAAACACACAGTACACACATAACCAATGCACAATGTTGCGATGGTCCCTCCTCTTACGACTTCAAGATTGCTTACGTGATTAGCAGGTAAGTGTATCAGATACAGCAACACCTTATTCGCAAATCACTAAGCTGTCAACACAACCTACGGTCGAGAATAATTGCTACAGGTTCCCTATTACATGACTTGAGCCTCAAATCGATGCATTTGTATATGCATGCAAAAGAAATGGCTTTTGTACATGGTGCGTGTTATATAAGGTAGCAAGACAAGGCTATCGACTGGCAAAACACCCTATACGGGGCAATTAGCGAATTTATTGATGACAAGAATATGAGCTTTTCACAACTGGTTGTCAGTCCAAGTAGGCTCAGCAGATCTTGTCGTGGCAATACTTTTGCTGCAAAACGTTGATGCCTGACGTAACGTGCGCGTAGATATCGATCCAGTCTGCCTTGAGGATTGTCGAGTGACCTATATATTGCAAGCTTTAGTAAGAACAGACATGAGTTTCTCATAATTGCAAAGCGGTTTTATATGTACCAGTGCCGAGGGGTGGATTACCCGCATCTTGGTCTTAGCATTGTGTGAAAAGGTAGTGAACGAAGACAGCGGCGCAGCATACGAGCCTGGACCAGGAAAAACGTCGCCTGTCCGCATCAAAACAGTCTCTTGTCCGTTGGACTTGTGTACCGCACCAGTCAGCCATGAACTTCGGCAACTGAGATTAGCATGTGGATCCTTCATATCACTGAAACTTCCTGGAAGCTGTGGACGTCGGGCTGATTGAGGCGATGGCGCCAATCTACCGCCGGGACACTCTGGCTGAGACGGTGCGTAAATCGGGCCAGGTGAAAACTCACCCATGTTTTCACGGGTATGCGTAGCTGACACATATTGCACACGTGTATTGCCTGCAGCACGATTAAGCTGCTCGGGTGTGTCTAAATGGCGTGTACCAAAACGGTTTTCGTGTCCAAAAGCATTACCACTGTTCTTGCCAGTCGCGTTGTTGTTAGGTGTACGCGGCTTTGCATCGTCAGACAATGTGGTGTCAGCTTGTTCCGGCGTTGCAGCGCTTTTATTTGTCAATTGACGGGGTAGTGAAGGAGATGCAGGCATGATCAAAACTCCATTGCGATTGATAGCTGACAGCCATGACTCGCGGAGGCCTGGACGAGGACTGTCGACATCGGGCAAGTGCATTTTACGTGATTCAGCTCGAGCAGTCGATCTAGGTGACGGTGGTGCTGCAAAGGAAATCTTTGGAGATGCAGCCTTACCACCATTTGAAGCCAGAAAACTAACATTGTATTTCGGACCAGGACTCTCCGCAGTCAAACGTTCACGCTGGTGTTCCCCGTCTGTCATACTCACTGCACCAAGCAGTAATGGCATTTATCAATAAGCAATGTACGCAATTACAAGCCTGTATACGTAGTAGCACGAACCTTTTTGCGATAAGAAACGATCCGACTTCGAAAATGACACTTGTGGTGCCCTTATTTTGATCAAACTTATGTTCTCATTGTAGTAGCCAGGAGCTCGAATGCTTTCTGTCAGCAATGATGTGAGTATGAGGCATATAGGTATCATATTAGTCTCGTTGACATTCCATGCGTACAAAACATTTACACATATCAAGCATCTTGTTCCAACGCCTCAGTTGTTATGATTGTACCTTTGCTAGCCACGAACGTTTGTGCTAATTGCTTACCTTATGGTCGTCACACAAGTCACAAAATATAATCAGCTTGGATGGTCGACATGTGTCTTACAAAAAAACTTACCACCAATCCATCCCTCACGTTTGCCCCATTTCTGAGTCTCATCCACAGGTTTGTAATCGGCCTTCATAACGACTTGCCCATTGTCGCGTACATCTGGCTTGGCATAAATTGGTCCCGGTGATCGAGCTAGCAAGAGTTCAAAATGAATTATAATTTTTGAAACGTTGAGCCATTTCAATTGTTATGCTCACCATGTTCAATTGGAAACCGCTCCGAGCCGCCGAAAATTGACATGAATTACTGGAAATTATCTGATGTAGACTCTAGTCAAAGCTTAGAGGTTCAAGTATTGGTAAGAAGTTCAAACCAAGTTCGCCAATGCACATTTACCTCACAGCTTATCTAATTCCCCGCTTAATGCGCCAAGTGTATACGCGGTCCTATCGCTCAACTCTCACTAAATTCGTCACCTATTTTAGGCGTGGTCATAATAGAACATATAGACATCAAACTTCCACTGTAACTTTCTTTGCCAGATATACATTTATATAGACTGCAGGGTCATAACCTTCAAATTGACCAGTTTACGATGCCTTACAAATTACAATTCGAAAGACAAACTATGTAGCAGGCTAAAAGGAAGGATGTGGAGCTCGCATAGCATTCAGCATTGTTTGCTCACGTGACTTCATCCTGGTTGTCTTTCAATACACACACAATCATTCAAGTCCTGTCGAGGTATTCAAGAAAAAAGCGTTAAGTCAACACTCGAATATTATAATTTAGCTTGTTTGACGTCATATTTCGATATGTCAGAAATTCAACGAGTTGCCGCGGACCTGTACACCGAGTAAGCTTTCTTCTCGACGAGATATATGTTGTGTTCATGCGCTTTACCAAGGAGCAGATTCGAAAGCCTCCAGTAAAACCACGTGCTTGGTGTGCTATGTTTTAGAGTGATTCTAGTCAGTATGAATTAACATTAGATATATTCGTGCTACTTGTCTAGTGGCAAAATTATATTTACTGCTTGATGTTATGCTAACATCCCAGGTGTACCACGGACCTCTCCTTGACAGAGTCCCATCATCTCCATTAGTATCGACACTTTGATACTTATGAATATTCACGATTACATGAAAGAGCAATAGAAGATTCGTAAGATTGTACAATTTTGTATTCTCCAGTAAAATTTATAATTGTAAGGATTACTTACACAACAAAAGTACGTACACCATCTTCCATTAAGATGTGGGTCGCACTATGGGCTGAGAATGTTGCGCAGAAAAGAGCGCTTAGTGAACACCCAAATGCGTTCCTTGCATCCCTACAAAGTGCGTTTTTCTTGAATCCTACAGCAAGCCACTTCGCATGCGGAGTGCTAGCCTTCTTTATCGTCATACACAGCTCAGCGAGCCTATGAGAAAGATGCGGCCGTCATAAAAAACGATCTTGAGTCAATTCTTCGGAAGAAAGCCGAGGTGTTCTCTGATGGGAGTGGTTCCAATCCTGCCTGGATAACTCCGCCATCATCGGAGGGCATATGGCCGATCCGCATAACAAGTAGAAGGCATAGTGCTTAGACTCTCCACTTTACGGAATTGAAAGCCCAGACGCGAGCACTTACTGCTCACTAGACAGTATTTCAACTCTTTTCCGAGATGGCCAACCAAAGAGTTTTATCTGCCTCAAATAATCGAGTGTACTGAAGATTCCGACCACGAAAGACCATCACATGTCAAACACATGTTGCGTCTGACCCACACTGTACGATTGGCGATGTCAAAAATATGAGATAGGACAAATGATTCGGGCGACGCAAGATGCATCTACCACCACATTAAGCCGACCCGGTTTTGAGTGTAGCGGATCGCAATCCTCTACCTCCAAGAGTACTTGAACCTTAACCAATGTAAAGACGATCTTCCGTTCAGAACTGAAACTGTATTTAATTGTTTTAGTTGTGGCAGAGCCACCAAAATCAAAAATCTTAGGTTTTCCTGATTGGTATAGTAATACCTAATTGATATAGTAAAACCTAATTGATATGTTTGCTTGCATCCTCGCGCAAACCATGGCGGTCGGCAAAGACTTTTGCCTTGGTTTTGATGAGATCTTCAGTAATGGATACATGCCTTGTCTGGCATTGAAGCACCCGTGTTACTATTGTCTTCACTGAGCTGCAGACGATGTGCAACGCGGGGCCGATTGACCGAAAGCTCAATATCTGTCATGGCCTCGAGCTCGCGACTCTTTTTGGGGATGCTGCTAGTAGCAAATTGAGTGATTCCAACGCCAAACGTCTGAGCGGCCCATGTTACAAGCGCACTTTGACTCATCCATTGATATCTGGCCTTTTGATTGCAGACCCGAGCCTCTGCGCATTTGTAAAACGTTATTTGTTGTAAATGTAATTGCGCAAAAACTTTCGCAAAAAGGCTCGATTGCTAATAACCTTGACTAAATCATAGAAATTTTTCTCCGCATTTATCAGTTATCCGAGGGACGTCTGTCTATCTGAAAAATTCTCTTTATAAACGTGGTGCAGTATATGTGTCTCATGTAAGAGTGAAGAAGTATCTAGATGAATCTGTCTACCAGAATTTAATTATACGAGGCAACATGCACATCATGTCGATAGACATCTTATGGTGTGCTAACGATTTCCAAGCAGCTTGAACCTCATGTATGTATCTGATTGAAGTCAGCTTTAGCTGACAATACCATCATACTACGCATTTCTTTCAGCTTCGGAGCCAGCTACTAAAGTATCTCTTTTATAATAGATATAATTTTTCAATAGAACACAATTTATAAAAATTTGTGAAGTAATATAAACGTCGAACTTCCGCCGTTGTCGTAGCCTCAAGGTATGCTTTTCTTTCATGCTTGGAAAGAAAGTTTTAAGGGAAATTGGACAGGATTGGATAACTTTATGATTGAGAAAAGACAAATTTACTTGATAATAGTGATCTCAGGATATAATTTTAATAACCTAACTAAGCGCTTAAAACAAATATATCGGTGCTAAGTTGTCGTTGATGAAAGCGGAAATCTACACAGGAGAAGTTACACGAAAAACGGTGTCATATAATCGACTCAAGCGTTGATGAAGCTTTTTGAAAGCTAAGCAACTTTTACTATCGATTTAAAGAGCCTTGTCCATTTGAGATTTAACGTACCCAATGATTCGGCTATCGATACCAACACAATCGCCATCGGTAAAGGCAATAAGTTAGTTTTCATTAAAAAAAAATCAAGATTTGAGTATCGGTGGGTATGTGAGTTTGGCGGTTGACAATGTACACCACCCTGTAATGCAGTCACAATACTTTGTCGTATCACAAGCGTTTTAAAAAAGGGACGCAATGCCACAACCAGTGTTGAACGTCTTAGCGATATCGACGCGAAAAGGACGAGTCGACACAACACAAATTCTTTTGTTTGATGCTCAAATCAACGATTCCTGATGCTTGAAGTAGCGAAAAGTGGTGACTCAGCGACTCATGGTGACTCTTATATCTAGAAGCACTGTAGTCGGCTATCATTCAGCGGAAGGTGGACGATTATATAGAGAACGGTGTTTGGAGCACATTATCGGATGATCGTCCGAGTGTATCTGTCGATGTCAATTTGAAGTGAGTCACCAATGAGTCAGCATGAGTCACCACTGAGCTCATCAGTTCGCCCTCTAAGTCAATCTCTAGACATTCAAAAGTGAATGAGTCAGCACCATGAGTCACCACTACCTTCCGCTCAATGACAGTCGACTACAGTAACTCTAGATATAAGAGTCACCTATGTCGCCAAGTCACCACGTTTTGCAACTTACACCACTTCTTTCGAGTATAATGTATTTCATCTATCATACTATATCTTCTTATAAGTATATATATTGAATATTGATGAAAGTGAAGACATCTTCGCCAGAGATCAACGAATGCATGAGATACTAGCATTGTTTTTCGTATTAACTTGAGATTTCTCGCTTCCTTAGCAAGCTTGAAGTCCATGAATCTCACATGGGATGAACAACAAATGGATTGGTCATTGCATCGAGAACAACATCCAGATTAAACAACAAAACTGATGAGAAGATGTGCTGAGAAGATGGCAAAAACCAAAGTACATATATTAAGGTCCCCAGGTGTCGCTAACTCTGTGCTACATCTAAGCCTGTCTTTCTAGACCCTTCTAGAAGCTTCTTGATGTAATCTGATTTATCTAGACCAATGCACGACTACGATTACGTCCGTAATCAGCTACCGTGATCATGATGGTAAATGTAAACATGACCGTAATCTTTGTGACGCCATCCACATGCATTCAGCGGTGTAAACTGAACACTCCTACTCACCGCTAGTGTTGAGTGTGCGTTGTTGCTGACCTGGTCATAATGCATGTTGCCTCTCGTAGCATCTTGGTCCCAAGTGCCTTGGTGAGCATATCTGGAAGCTGACGCTTTGTATCGATGTAACTAATCTTGAGTAAACCATGCTGAACATTCTCCCGAATAAAGTGATGTCGAATGTCCACGTGCTTTGTACAAGCATGGTAGCCCGCATTGTTTGCTAAAGCTATCGCATCTTGACTATCTTCCCATATTTGGGCGCCTCCCACTTGTTCTCGACCCATGACCTTAAGCATTGCGCGCGCAATGCTCCAGAGTACTGCTTGTGCGCACAAGCTTAGCGCCATATACTCTGCTTCTGCAGAACTTAGCGCGACGTTTCTCTGATATTTGAACTTGAACACAACCGGAGCTCTTCCAACATTGACCAACACACCTCATACAGATAGTTTGTCGTCGGTGTTGCTACCCCAGTCTGCACCCGAAATAGCTTCAGCAATCACCTTTCCAGTCCCTCCTTGGTAAATGATCCCGTGACTCCGTGTCGAATTTAAGTGGCGTAGTACACGAATTGCGGCGTTCCAATGTGGTAACCCGGGATTCTCGAGAAACCGAGACAGTTGTGTAAACGATATATGTGATGTCCGGCCGAGTGAAAGCTGTAATGTATAGCAGGCATCCAACCAGTGAGCGGTATGGTATTGACTGCATCTCTCAATGGTCAGCTTCTGTACTTGGTGACTGTAATGGTAACAGCTTGGGATGATTTGCCGAGGTCCTTGGCGTTTTTCTGTCCAAAACGCTCAGCCACGTCGCTAATGTACCGTGTCTGCTTGATTGAGTGTGGAAGATGACCTGTCGTGGTCGATCTCCATGCCAAAGATGAACTTCGCCATACCGCGATCCTTCATTTTGAAAACACTTCTTAGCATCCCCTTGACGT